CAGGCGGCGCGATTAGAGATATTCTTCAGGGAAAGGAGCCTGACAGCTGCAGACAAGCTTCTGCTTTTCTAGAAGGAGAGAGAAGAGCGGGAGGGCCAGGCAGAGCGGCGTGAAAGAAGGGGGAGGCAGGGGAGTGAAGAGGGGGAATCAGCGAAGCACTGGCGCCCACCCAGCCCTTTCCTAAAGAAGTCACAGGAGAGAGAGGAGGCTAAAGGCTCTGCAGAGAACTCACTGCGGCCTCCATTCTTAGACAGATTTTCATGGTCGTTCCCACTAAATTCCCTCCTCCTGCCGGACGAAGGAGTCTCGGGCTCCGGGGCAGTATGCCCTGGGGTAGGCGGGGCTCCCAGCCCTCACAGGGATGACAGCTCACATCTGCACAGCCCGTGACCGGTGACAGCGTTCCCGCCGGTACAAAATCTCATGTTGGCCTCACACAAACCTTTGAAAGCAGGTATTGTAAAATCGCCCCCATTTGAGGGTGACTTTCATACAGTTCATTTCAACACGAATTTCCTGAGCGTCTACTCTGCATTGGTGTTAGATTTGAATGAAGCAGTGCCTGCTCTCAGGGAGTTCACCGTCCAGGAAGAGAGCTGCCCATCATGTCAATGTTGTCTGGAGGCTATTCCTTTCAATGGAATGACAACGAATAGACGCAGGAAGAATTATTCAGTTAAAAAAATCATTATTTTGCAAATATCTAAAAAAATAATTGATTCGGGTAAGAATGATCAGAGGATGCTAAAACTGTGGGGTGAAAATGTGATGAGGACTGAGATATTTGTGATCTCAAAGTATCTCCCCATAGGTTACTTATGAATTACAAAGGGGGACATGATAAGCTTACAGCAGAGAAACCTGGAAGGCAACAGTTGAATCGGTGTAAACAAGACCAAGGGTGAGACGCACAGGACCGTGTGTCTTGCAATATGTGGCCATGCCTGCCAAAAATATTTACTCTGAAATTAACCATGAAGAAACCCTCACTGTCTGCACCGAGGGGCCTCCCATGTAATGACTGGCCTGCACTCTTCAAAACTGTCAAGGTCATGAAAGATAAAGGCAGGCAGAAAACAAGTTCCATGTTAGAGATTGAAGAGGCTGTGCACCTGAACACAATATCTGATACTGGATCGGGCCCAAAAAGAATTGTTCTAAAAGACATCTGGGGGATAATATGGTGACATCTGAATACACATTGAAGAAACAGAGCAGAAGCCTGTCTGGAGTGAGTAACTGAGTGAGTGTCAGGATTCCGCTGCCTACTTGGAGCCCACACAATGTCATCTAAAAGACTTCTCATAAGAATTCTTGGTTCCCCAAACCTGAAACTACTGTATTTCCCATGTGGGTTGATGTCACCCTGCCCAGTTGCTCAAGCCAGACACATAGAAGACATCTTGTGAATGTCACCCCCATGGCCTAGCTATCAGCGATCCCAGCTGACGTGGCCCTCCAAGTGTACTCCCGCTTGACCCACTGCCTCTCATCTCTGGTCCAGGCCATTACCGTCTCATGGGAGGGCTACAGCAATAACCTCCTCATGTCCCCCACAAGTCCTCTTCAGCACAGGGGCTAAAAAAATTTATTTCACTTGTGAATCAATACATTGCCACTACCCTCTTAAGCCTCTCCAAAGTTCCTATTGAGCTTGGAATAAAAATCTGAAATCTCCTATCTCTTCCCTGACATAAACCCTTACATCCTTTAGCAGAGCTGAGATTTCTGGAAATCAGACCCTGAGTGGTACCCTGCAAGTGGCTGAGTTACTACACAAATTGTATTCCCAGCTCACAAGGTGTCTTCTGGTCAAGTTAGGGCACAGGCTGAGAAGAAACGGGATCCTGAACATTGCAACGGGGACATATGAGGAGATCCCAGTGAAGCCAAGGACCTTATACCCTGAAGTCGGCTAAGACTCTGAAAAAGCAGCCATTCCAGGCCTACCTCAGGAGGCTTGCCCTTCTTTCCCGGAAGAACTTATAACGGCCTCCCCTGCGGAAGCCACCTTGCAAGGCACTACGGACTCTACTCAGGACCCCGTCAACCCTCTTTGCTTCTAAACCCATAACTACACTCAGGTCTCAACAGGCCCAAGGGTGAGGTACAAGGTGTCAGCTATAAAGAGGTTAACTAAACATCAAAAGAACTGCATTATTCCTTCAATTTTCACAGGTAGAAATTTGGGGAATATGGGCACAAAATTTTGGAAATGGATATTAAATATGGGATCAAAGTGGAAAGAACATAAAGTTGGGTCAGGCCCAGTTCACCAACACGGACTCACTAAGCAGAGATTCTCGATTCAATTTCAGCTTGACGGCTCGGGGAGGGCTCTAGCAGCAAGCTACCTGAAATCAGACGGAAACGCCACAACCGCCCTGGTCTACGGCAAAGGAAGGTACTGCGGAGAGAGGGCTGCTCAACTGTTTATACACAGCAAGTAAGAATTTAGGACTTCCCATTTACACCCGTTTACCAGGGTAACTGTATTTGGGGGGAAGATAAGTAAGCACATCTTTCAGGAATTACTAGACTTTGGCTCTGAATCGGTACTAATTCCTGGAAGCCCAAAGTGTCCCTACGGTAGCAGTCAGAGCAGGAGACTTGCAAGCTGGATCACCAGAGCGGCCTCTGGTTCAGACCCCTCTCACTGTGGGCAGACGAGCCTCTCAGTCCCAGTGGATCCATGAATGCCCCTGGGGTTATTTCTCCATCTCTGGAATGCACAGCTGGAATACATACGCAACAGCCGGCCGAACCCCCACATGGGTTTCCTGCTAGAATGGGAAGGCCAAATGGAAGCCACTCGGACTGCCTGTGCCTCTAGAAATAGGAAACCAAAAGTAATCCAGCATTCCTGGAGGAAATCAAAGATTAATGCTACGATTAAAGCCCCCAAGGGTGCAGGTGTGGTGATTCCCACCGCATCCCCATTTAACTCACCTATGCAGACAACAGATGGATCTCGGAGAATGACACTGGATTATCATCCACATAGTCAGGCGCTGACTCCAGTTGCAATTGCTGTTCCATATGTGGTTTTGTTACGTCAGCAAATTAATAGATCCCGTGGTACCTGGTGAGCAGCTACTGAGCTAGAAAAGGCTTTTTTTCTCTCTCTCTATACCTGTTAGTAAGGACAACAAGAAGCAGTTTTCTTTCAGCCGCCAACACCGACCACACACCTTCATTGTCCTACCCCTGAGGAGGGTGTATGTATGACTTATGCTATACATATATATATATATTTGGCATAACTTAGTTCACAAGGGAATTTGATCACCTTTCCCTACACAGAACATCACACTGGTCAATTATATTGATGACGTTATGCCTACTGGACCTGGTGATCAGTGGGGCAGAGTAGCAACTACTTTAGACATATTCACAAGACATTTGCAGGTCAGAAGGTGGGAAATAAACCCCATAAAAATTCAAAGACTTTCTACCTCAGTAAAATTCCTAAGGGTCCAGTGGTGAAGGGCGTGTGTACATACCCCTTCTAAAGTAACAGAATTGTCGCACCTGATCCCTCCTATCACTAAAAAATGCACAGCACCTAGGAATCCTCTCTAGATTCTGGAGATAACGTATTTCCCACTTGGGATGCTGCTCCAGCTCATACACCGAGTGACGCAAAAATGTGCTGGGTTTGAGTGGGACCTAGAACAAGACAAGGGCTCAGGCAGCAGGACTAGGCTGCCATCCAAGCTGCTCTGCCAGCTGGGCCACATGAGCCAATAGATGCAATGGTACTTGAGGTGTCAGCAGAGGATAGAAATTCTGTTTGGAACCTTTAGTGGCCCTTACAGGACTCTTAGGATCATGAAGCAAAGCCCTGCCATCTTCTGGGAATAATGACTATGCTTTGAGTAAACAGCTTTTGGCTTGCTACTGGGTCCCTGTAGAGACTGAACCCCTAACCATGGGCCACCAAGTCACAAAGCAGGTGACCTGAGCTGGCTGTCATGAGCTGGATGTTGTCTGACTCACCAAGCCATGAACTTGGTGTGCAAATAAGCACTCCATTATCAAATAGAAAAGGCATATATGAGATCAGACAAGAGATCCTCAAGGCACAAGTAAGTTGCACAAGCAAGTAGCCCAAGTTGCCAGGGCCCCTACCTACTCCTTTATTTCTATCTTTTCCCAAAACTGCACCTGTGGCCCCCTGGGGTGTTCTCTATGGCCAGCTAACTGAGGAAGAGAAAGCTCAACCTCGTTTACAGATGGGTTTTTTTTGCATAATACACAGGCACCACCTGAAAATGGACAGGTGAGCAATATACAACCCCTTTCTAGAACATCCCAAAAGGAAGGTAGAAATCCTCCCAGCAGGCAGAAATTTGAGCACTGTACCTGATTATCCATGTTGCCTGGAAGTAGGAATGGTCAAAGTTGCAAGTCTATACCAATTCACAGGCTACAGCCCGTGGCTGGGTAGTCAGGGACCTGGAAGAAACACAATTGGAAAATGAATGACAAGGAGGTCTGGGAAAGAGGCTGTGAATAGACCTCTCTGAATGCACAACCATGTAAAGATATTCGTGTCCTATGTGAGTGCTCACCAAAAGATGACCTCAGCAGAAGATGATTTTAATAATCTAGTCAATAGGATCACTACTTTGGGGATACAAGTCAGCTTCTTTCCCTGTCACTGTCTAATGGGCTCATAAACCAAGTGGCCATCATGCATGGAAAGAGATGATGCATGGAGGTAGTAACATGGACTTCCATTCAGCAAGGCCGGCCTTACCAAAGCCGCTGCGGAACAACCATCTCCAAATGGCATAGACCAACATGGAGTCTTTGATCTGGCACCATTCACCAGGATAACCGGCCAGCTACCTGGTGGCAGATTGATTACACTGGACCACCTTCATCATGGAAGGAGGATGCTTTGTTCTCACGGGAACAGACCCTTACTCTGAGTACGGATCTACCTTCCCTGCTCCCAGGGTTTCTGACAAAACTACCATTCATGGATTTATAAAATGCTTTGTGTGCCATCATGGTATTCTACATGGCATTGCTTCTCATCAAGGAACTGACTTCATAGCAAATTAAGTGCAGTAATGGGTGCATGCTCATTCATCGGTGTTACCATGTTCTCCATCACCCTGAAGCATCTGTCTTAACAGAATAGTGGAATGGCCTTTTGAAGACTCAGTTAAGGTGTCAGTTTGGTGGCAATGCATTGCGGGGTTGATGCAAGTTTCTCCAGAAGGGTGAATATGCTCTAAGTCAGCATCCAGTGGTCCTAGGAATCAAGAAATGGAAATGGGAGTGGTTCCATTAATTATTACCCCTAGTGAGCCACTAAATGTTTAGTGGATCCCCTAGATCCAGTAAATGCTGGCTTCCTCTCTCTGAGACTTTAGACTTTGCTTATCTAAAGATCTTAGTTTCAAAGAGAAGAGCTTCTGCCAGGAGACACAACCATCTAATATCAGGTGTGTTGATAATGGTTAACTTTACATCTCAGTATTTAAGATATAAGACAAAAAAGGCGACTGAATACCATCCACTTGGTAATGTCTTCTGGAAAACATGTTGGCATGTTTGTGGTGTTCCCAGGATAGATATGACACGTCAGGCAGAAGTGTGGCTTTGTTCTTGTCTTTATTGGGAACATTGAGTATGGGTTAAGACGTGTATGGGTGCCAACTTAGCGAGGGGTGGTCTGTGATGGTCTTTGGGATGTGACAACCTGACTGGGCTGCAGTCCCCAGGTATTCAAGAGAACACTAATCTAGATGGTGGTATAAAGATACCAAGTAGATATGATTGAAGTCCATACTCAGTTGACTTTAAGTAAAAAAGAGTATCCTAGATAATCTGAGCAGGTCTGATTTAATCCATTGGAAGGCCTTAAAAGCAGAGCTGAGGCTTGCCCAAGACGAGAAGAAATTCTACCTGTAGACAAGAACTGCGGCCCGTGCTTGAAGTTCTGGGCCGCCTCTCCTGACGGCTTCCCCTGGACATCCCAGGCTTGCCTAGCCAGTCCCCGCAATCACGTATGCCAACTCCTTAGAGTAATGCTTTTCCTACAAAGCTACTTGTTCAGCTCCTCGGACTGAGCCTTGACTGACAGAATTGGGGGCCAGGGGGTTTTCAATGACACTGAACATGAAACAGCCCTAACCTTCAGCAGCAAAATGGATAAATTACCAAAATAATTGCAAGAACTGAGACAATGAGGGGCTTGGACTGCAGGGATCTGTGGTAACAGCTAACTGATCATGAAGAAATATAAAGTTACCATGGTATTGTGCTGCTTATAATTTTTTTTTTCTCTAATCAAGGGCTGGCAAGAAGGCTGCCATCAGCTGCCAAAATGGAAATCTGGCATTTTCATTCCACATTTCATCCCATTTTCAGATTAGCAGATCCAGAGCCCACAGAGGAAGCAGAGTCTATGCCGTTTTGTGGAAAGGTCCTACTATGTCACTAGAAGTATATACAGTGTGTACTACCACAGGCGCTCCCAAAGAGACAGGAGGATATTTCCCAGGATGATTGTACCCTAGGGAAAAGGAACCTAGATACAGAATTTGAGCTGATTCTGATACCAGGGGACTCAAAATGCCACCGTGACCCTCTGATTAGAGTAGGGGTTCGTGGAGGGCACATAATACATGAAACCTGGCCCTTAGCTCATCCACAGTGCCTATCAAGCCATCCTGTGGTTTCTTTTGGCATCTAGCAGAAGCCATTTATTGATTCCCTGGTCTGTGGTAGGCACCAACAGTCTAGTGGAAGTCCTGGGGCCACTCTCACCCCGGGGCCAAGATAATATATCAGAAACAGTGCTGCAGCTGGGGTCATTGCAGAAGTCACCGTCACCACCAAAGCATCACAAGGTGTGGGGGTGATGGTCCGCATCACATCCCTTTCCAATTACCTATCTTAGCCCCGTGAAAACCTGACCGATTGTGGCAGATGATGGCACATGACTGTAGGCTTAACCAGGTGGTATCCCAGTTGCAGCTGATGTGGGAGATGTAGTATCTACACAGACTAGACCAGCCCAGTCTGGAATATAGCTACTGACGTGGCAAATGTATTCTTTTTTTTTTTTAAGGGAATAGATTTATTTATTTGTTTGTTTGTTTGTTTTGGTATCATTAATCTACAATTACATGAAGAACATTATGTTTACTAGACTCCCCCCTTCACCAAGTCCCCCCCACAAATAGATTTCTTTTTTAACTCTGTACCTAGCACTGTGCTAGGAACTAAATACATTTTTTAAAATTTTATTTTGGTATCATTAATATACAGTTACATGAAGGACATTATGTTTACTAGG